TTTTTTTTTTTTTTTTTTTTGAAAAGCGGTACCACCAATTTAACCATCACTGCGATTTAAAAATGGAAGTACTTCCCCCAATTCGCATGTACAAAAGGATGAAGTGCGAAGGAGCGTTGCTGCACACCCCCACCTGACGTTACACACAGGGTTATCTATAGAAACAGGGGCAGCGCAACGTTCTATACCTTAATCGCATCCTCTACACATCATGTCTTGCGAGTGACGCGTAATATGAAACAGTCACTCCTTTTCATACGCGTGAGGGAAAAAATGACATCTCAGATATGATGAAAGCCATTTGTGCGACCGTTTATGCTGTGAAGATTTTGGAGTTCTTCCCCTGGATGGACGATGTGTTTAAGCTGATGTATTTGGTAAAGAGGCCAGCTGTTCGCGGCGAACTTGCTTGCTCCGCGTGGACACGTTTCTCCTCGTGCCGTTTACCATATGACCGCTTTCTTCATTTCAGCTGCTTCCTACCGTTGCGCCTTCCCACCTGTGTTCACCGTCCCCCGCCCCATTCCCCTCTCGTAGAATAGGTCTTGGAAGCGAGTCATTCTGGACGTAATAAACAACACGAATTTCCTCAGGGGGAAAAAAATAATGCGGCTCAAAAATAGGAAGAGCATTTTCCTCATTCTTAAGTACATGAGGGGGGTCGCCTCGGTTGGGGGCGAATTGAGCGAGTTGCCAGGACAGGAAGGAGTGGCGTCATTGCCTGGGCTTCCCCGACTGCCCGCATCGCTCGACCCAGTTGAACATCCATTCCCCGATAACACCAGCCAGTGCCCCTTCCCCAACGTACTGTAAGTGGCTCCTCCCTTTGGATACTTTCCCCCGCTGCTTATTTTACCCACCCAAGTGTGTACGCATATCTGTCCAGAGGAAGCACCGGCAGAAGCGGCAGCACCAGAAGCTACAACTGATACTCCACTGTGTGCATCTGTCCTCCCCTCCCCTCCCTGCAGTGAACTCATTATTGGCTCGGGTAACCCTAACCCTCTGTTTTTCAACTACATCCAGAATAGCTTCCCCCGGCTGATGTGCTTTAAGCTAATCATCACCTCCCCCGTGTGCATCCCGCTGCTAAAAAACTTCTGTTTCAATTCGAAGAATCTGAGGTACATAATCATCTGCATCGTGAATCGGCAGTTGGTCACGGATTATCGCGAGAAGTTGGAGAAGAATCTGAGTAACTTCTTTCGCCAGTGGGGAATAAACGTGACGCTCATAACGGAGCTGGGCGCGTAGCGGTTACGTGATGAAGTGGAGAAGTGATGATGTGGCGAAGGATGACGTGTAGAAGGATGACGTGTAGAAGGATGACCTAGTTAAGATGTCATGCCGTTCGCACATTGATCAATGGAGCAGGCCGCTACTCTCCCGCTTTCCTCTTTCTGTACCCACTTTAATTCTTTTTTTTTGTTTGTTTCACCTATTTGGTTTGCCACTTCTTGTTGTCAGCTGGGGTGAGCACTCTGCTGTGGTGAGAATTGCCCGATGTGGACTTCGTACCATTTGACCCTCCTCTGTTTCTTACCCTTTTCCGATTTTTTCGGACTTCACCTATATGCATTATAGGAGCCGAATAACCCCACGGACGATGTTTTTTTTTTGTTTTTTTTTTTTTTGACTTCTACCTTGCTC